GTACTATGTGAATTGCATATATAGAATACTTCTATTAATCTACTTTAAAAATTTGATATTGGGCTAACCTTATTCTCTAATCACTTTGAAATTGAAGAATTAATTTCTTTGATAAGGCACATAAGGGGTACGTTATTTGTTATGGCGGGCGTTCTAGCATTCCAGTGCCTCTTCAAGGGCGCCTCAGTGCCTATAGTGGAATCTTAGCGCCCCTAAGTGGCACCTGGATGCCATAACAGTGCCTAGACGCCTATTGCACTGAACACTGTCAAGTCCAACACCGATTCAAGACTCAATTACATGTCGCAAGTTGCTCGTTTTTGAGTTAAAAAGAGAGCATTCGTCGTTCCAGCGTTCATGAGAAGTGCGGAGACTCCGAAATTATGACTTAAATTCAACCCGAGTGAATGGAAAGACAATGCCAAGGAATAGCGCTCCGTCAACCCAAAAGTGGTTTCTCTCTAGTTTGGGATTTAAGCCCTGGTTTTCATATGAATTTTGACTCTCACGGAAGTCTCTCGAAGTGTGTGTAACAAGTGAGAACTTGTGTGGAGCAATGTTTGCTGGTTGATGATGGATTTTAATTTATTCTCTTGTGCAATCAAGAGAGGAAAGAGCATCCTAAATTGTTATAATTTTCATGAATGTTGGGAAAAACTGTGAGCGTGGTGTAATTTCGTACATTCCTCATTTTCATAGTGAAATTTTTTATATGGTGTGGCCCCGTGATATTTTCCTGTTCCTGAATTTTTTCGCCTTAAAACTTGTTTACTTTTTTGAATTTTTTGTGATGTACACTTCTATTCAACTTTTATTCATGATCTCTTGAATCGTTGTTTTTCGTAGTGTGATTAATTTGTTTGTGAAGCAAGTAAATCAAGCTTTTTCGTCCCAACATTATTGAATTTATTTTCCAATTAAATATATGAATAATATGCTATTGAAGATATATCAAGTAATTTTCCTCTCCAAGAAACTTTAGCATCTGAGTTGGAAAAAAAAAAAAAAACCAATGTTATAACCGAATATTGCCTCACATTAATTAATACTCCTAATAAGTGGTATAGGATGAAATGATTTACTTGTGTTTAAGTGCTAAAACTGGTACATTTAATGTCTTTCATTTGACAAGACATGACTATCATGGAGATCTCTTACTAAAGAGGGAGATTTTTATGGCAAACTTCATATTTGATTTATTCTCCTATCAGATAGTTCAATAATACGTTGGCGTAGATAAAATCATATACTTCTTGCCCTTCATCTTTCATAAGCTTAAACTTTAGAATTTAAAATAACTTTGTTCACTAATTTATATGATCTAATTCTTAAGTCCTAATTTACACCCTCCGGACTTTTCAGCCACCCAAAATATAATAATCCATCATAGAGCAATCTCACTATTCACTCACCATGATATGGGAGCTGTACATACTTGATTTTGTCATTTGGCAGAATTGAATTAAATAATAATATTCCTGCAGTCTGAGCTCATCATTTTCTAAAATGAACCCTCAAAGCAATTTTGGAAAAGAGAACTTGAAGGCATTTATATTTCAGCATAAATATGGCAATTGTCAGAGAAACTGCAGGCAGTCCAGAAAGAAAATGGAAAATGCAGTACAATGTACTCTTCCATTTTCTGAATTTGAAGTAAATAAATAAAATAAAATTAGTAATAAACTTCAATTTTTTTTATTTAATTGTGCTAGAAATGTATATGATTTGATCAGTAATTCAGATTCATGCCTTAGAAGTACCTCTTATTTCCTTAGCTTTTTCTTTGTTGAATGCTGCTGTTTTCTGAATATTTTCAGCATACACATTTATGACAATTTCAAATTAATTAAAATGGTGGTTTTCCATGCTTATATAAATCTCAGTGGTCTTAATAACAAAAAGTGAATAGATATTAAGTGATTGTTTTGCATTTTCTATGATGTGCAACTAAATTCAATGGCTTTCATTATATTTTGTACTGTAAAATCATAGTTTTGAAGAAGTTTAACTGTCGATAATATCAATAAATGTTTCAATTATGCTTCGATTTTTATGAAATTATGATCATACAAAAGATAATCTTAGTCACTAATAGATTTAACGACACTGTCAATATTTTAAAATAGGTGTGGCTGACAGATACATTTATTATTTAAACTTTCTCAAAATCTGATAAGTTTTTCTTCTATAGATATAGTGCAGCTCATAAGATATCCCCACATAAAATACAAAGCATTTAATTATTTTTGCGAAATAATAAGAAATATTTAGTTTTTTTATTAGATTGATTACAAAAAGATGACTGCAACATAAAATCATTACTGCGTTTTATTTAAAAACCGTGCAGTAATGAGTTTAAATTAAGTAAAGTTCTGTAGATAAGACACCTTGTTGTAACTTGAAATTTCAACATGATGCAGCTTTTAGTATTAAATTCAATTACAATTAAAGTCTCATATTTAATCTCACTTTTGCAATTAAAACTTCAGTTGTCTTATATGGCAGAACACAATAATAAAATTTTATAAGAGAGAAACATGATGTGCTCTTCGATCTATCCATCAATAAACTACATTATGCATGGATGAATTATTCTGTGAAACATAAAATACACTATTTGTCACAGGCATATGAGTGAGAGAATCTACACATACCTTTGGCATGCAGAACAAATGCTCTCACTCACTGACTGTTGTCTGAGACAGCTGATAAACAATGGCAGCTGAGAATATTAAAATAAAAATTAAAAAAAAAAGATTCTATAAACCCTTATCTCTAATTGAACTTAGAGACCCATGTGTGCATGGGAAAGCATCTCTCAATCTCCCTTACCTACCATATCATTTTATTTTGAATGCACAAACTCCAATAAAACCTTATTCGCTGTCAAATTACTCTCTCTCTCTCTCTTCCTCCCATGTTCCTATCTACCCATTAGCCTGACCCACTTCATATCGACTTGACTGATGACTCTATATTATCCTCAGAACTAGCCAGACAGTGATAATGAATAGCTCTGAACAAATAAAAGACAAGAAACAGTCATTTCATTATTTAATACATGATTCTGATTCTTACACGGAAGTAGTTATTTTTGGAAAACGAAGAAGCTTACATCATGTTTCAGTTTTTATCTCATAAATCATTTATTAGTGCTGCTTTTCTTTATCGGTTTGTAAGGTTCATAACTATATCTGTGGACTGAAATCCTTACAAGAATGTCTGCATTGCAAGGAAATTAAAAGCCATATGAGGTATGTGAGAGTTAATAGGGGTAGGTTTCTGTGTGATGATGGAGTAATTATATGAAGGCAGAGGCATTCATATAATTGCTAAAGAAGGAACAAAAGGAGAAGAGTTGGGGGTTTGGTTATTCCTTTGTGGTATTTATAAAGATATCTTTTCTAATACTATAATTGAGTTATTCCATAGTGGTGGTTGGGATTTTTGGGTTGTGGAGCCACAAAAAGAGTAAAAGGACAGAAAGCTAATAGATGAATTCACACTGAGAAAGAAGAGAGAGAAAGAGAGAGAGCAATGGGGAAACAGAAGAGAAAAGGGGATCAATGTACTGATCTACTACATGCTATACATCTCAGTTGACAGTAGAGGCACATGTACACTGTTTAACGACCAGAGCTGGAATGTGTCAGCCAGTTAAACTGGAAATAAGGCAACACAACAAAAATCTCACTACTTCCCATGCACTGACTTACTTGCTTATCCCAATGGTTACTTCTCTCTCTCTCTCTCTCTCTCCAAAGAAAATAAGCTACATTCTGCACAAGTAAATTGATTTGAATATTTAGGCTTCCTGTTCTAGTTCTGTGATGTGAATGCAAGAGGGCCTTTTCCTATTACATCAAAGTTTATAGTTTTTCCAATGGAGTACTTTTATAAAAAAATAATTATAACAGCCAATATTTGCATTGAGTTTTGTATTCATAAGGCTCTCTTAAAGGATAGCCTTGGAAAGGCCTCGTAATTATGAGAATATAAATCTCACTATGAAGTGAATGAAGATGATGAAATTTCTCATTGTGATTTTCATAAGAAATTTCTTATTGAAGCTCATAGTCTACTCATGAACAGGTGTGAGTGTGCACACAAGGTATTTTAGCACTTTTTTAATAGAATAAATCTCTTCTAAATGTTTTAAGAAATTTAAAAAGATAATGAGACATTGTCTTCTTTGTAAGAGATCAGAAAATTTCAATTTGAAGAAAGTCACATATTGACAGGCCGACTCAAGGCAATAGTTTCTATCTTGATAAATTGAAAAGTTATTAGATGAGAAATCCTCATGCATAAGAATTTCAGTACAACATAATTGTATTAATCATATGTACTTATATACTGATGAAGTACGCATGCATACATTATCCGCATCAAATAATTTCTAGACAACTTGGGAGCACATTATTTCAGTTATTAATCTTTTTTTAATATTTATTGTATTTTCTATTTCTATTTCTTGCTGAATCAAAACTAAAAAATGTAAGATTTTTCATAAGCAAAGTAATTGTAAAAGCTGACAGCAACTGCAATAAACTATGTGGGACAAGAGTTATGTAGCATCCCATGTCAAATTATTTTTCATTTATAAGTTAAATCCAAGATTAAGCAAATTCTGAAACAAATTTTCACCTACACAACTGCTCTTTAACTTCATTATGCAAGCTTAAACTTTTACATAGATGGAGAAAAAAATTGTTGTATTAATTTTGATTCTATGAAGTAATTACTTTAAAACAAAGGTGCTAGAGAAGAACCCATAAACATCATATCTTAATCATTGCAAATGGATGCAGCTAAACCGTTAACATAGAATCAATTCTATCACTAAATTTCTCTTGAAAAATTAAAATTCCTAAGAAGAAAATTTTAATTCAACAATCTTCAGATGACATATTAACTTGACTTAACTCCTCATCCTACAAAATTTGATTTTATGGTCAAGGACTTATCCTTCGGCTAAATCCAAAATAAGAAACGGGGATCTACGAGGAAAATAATACAGAAGTGAAAGAGCATGCAAATGGAATTAATTGATACAGAACACGGAATATATCATTGAAAATGTTCACTCATAGTTACATAAGATGAGCAATACTACTTAACCTTAGGCAGATCTCCCAGCCGAAGCTCAAGATCCAAGTCCTCAACTTTCTCAGGACTTAGATTGATGACCTCATCTTCTGCATATTCCTGCAGCTTTTCCTCATCCACTAAAAATGAATTCATCTTCATCCTCTTATTACTGTTTTTATCCTCTTCTTCCTTATCTAACCGCCGCTTCGACCCCAACTTAAGCTCTTCTCCCCACAAGCAGTGTATTGCTGAATAATTGACATCATTGACCACTTTCCTAGAGGGAGGACTGAAGAGAGCTACCTGGGCAAGGGATACATCAACCCCAAAATTAGGGTTAGGGCTAGGGTTTGGAACACCAATATTGATATGGTGTCGATCATCAATATCATCTTCTCCAACCATAGATGACTGTTTTAGCCTTGCTCGATCTCGCCGGTGAACATTCATGTGGCCGCCGAGAGCTTGCGCCGATCGAAATTCCCTCCCACAAAAGCTACAAGAATAAGATCTTGGAGGCCAAACACAGCCACCCAATAGTCCTGCAGAGTCTTCAGCAAAAGCTTTCTCCTCCCATGATTGGTTATAAAACACGGAGGCAGAAGGGATCGGAGTACGAGTAAGTGAGTCGAAGAGAGGTGGACTTGCTGGGAATTTTCTTCTTGTCCACATCCAGTATTTGGCTTGCTCCATTGCACTGTGCATGGAAGAAGGAGATCAAATCTGTAGAAGATGTAGCTTTAGATGTTTATTATTTGAGAGGAGTTGTTGTGAGATTGGTGGAGAGGTGGATAGCTAGAGCAAAGCATCTACATCAAACATGGGGCATGGAAAGCTACAGAAGCATCTTGCTGGTTATAAGGAAAAGAGAGAGAGGAGATCAATGGTGGTTTTATTAGATGCTAATCTGTGCTATTTCTTTTAGCTCAAGTGTTCGGTTTTGGAGGTATAGAAGAGCTTTCCTTGTGGAGCTACTTGCTGTCGGACAAAATAGAGACGTTGGATATTTCTATTTTTCCATTCTTCAGTAGTTGTAGTTGCAGTCGTCATAGCAATACTGTTTACATAAAAAGCATCGCATAAATGAAGCTCATGAATGGTACGTAAAATGGAAATATGTTTCATTTACTAGGGAATAAACTTGCTTGTTTTGTATATAGAGATCTTATTTCAATCTAAAAGCATTTATTAGTAGCAAATATTTTTCTTTTATATTTAGCAGTCTAACTTGGAGGCACATGTTTTTTTTATTTAATATTTTTAAAGGGAGACATCACATTTATTCAGCATATATAACAGGTAGATTAAGATCAGTTATAATTATAAGGTGGGCAAGAAGTCACATCCCTCTATCATACTCCTTCCCCTAATCATAAAACTTCATAAAATTTCATTTTATGTTGTAAAAAAGTTATAATCATAAAGTCTTGAATATTGATTAAGTAACAACCTAAGTTTCATAAGACCCCCATCTTGAACTACTCTCATCCTACCATTATTGTTGCTCACTCCTCTCTGACATTGTGATTTTCTCTCCCCACTAAGAGGTGAGTTTTAAGCCTACATATGAAAGAAGCCGAAGTCATCTCCGCAACTTTACTAGAGTTTTAATAGTTTTTAATCAATAAAAAAAATTGAGAGAAGTTAAAAGATATAAGAATTATGTATAAGATCCTTCGATCCTTAGAATCAAAGTTTGATCATATTGTTGCCATCATTGAAGAAACCAAACACTTGATGTTTATGACAATTAGCTCCTAGGTAGAAAAGAAAAAAAAGAAGCAAGTGAACATAGAATAATTCCTAAAGACAAAATTTAATTCAACTAACGAAGAGAATCTCGAGTATGATAGACACCAACAAGGAAGAGGTCGTGGTCGAGGACAAGGTCGTCGTTATGAACGTGGATGTGGTAGAAACTCCAATAATGATGACAACAACAACAATACCAATTTTGGATAAGGGAAAAGTTCAACAAGAGGGCATGGAAGAAGAAAATCAAGATGAAGGTTTTACAAATCTCAAGTGTTGTGTTACAACTATAAAAAAATTGGTCACTATGTTGCAGAATGTAGAACTCCCCATAATAATAAAGTTGAAGAGAAGACTAATTACATAGAAGAGAGAAGTCAACAAGATGACACTTTGAAATTGGCATAGAAGGAGAATAAAAAGTAAAGATAACACATGGTACCTAGACACCGATGCAAACAACCATATGTGTGTAAGAAAAATCATATTCATGAAGCTTAACAAAGCGTCGAGCGACAATGTATCCTTTGGAGATGAGTCTAAGGTAGCTGTGAAGGACAAAGAAAATATCCTTTTCTGATTAAATAATTAAAACTCCAATTCATTTTTAACATCTATCATATGCCAAATATGAAGAGTAATATTCTACTTTTGGGTCAGCCCCTAGAAAAAAAATATTATATTCATTTGAAAGACAAGAACCTTACTGTAAGAGAAAATATGAGCGACCTGATTGCGAAGATACAAATGTGAAGAAAAAAAATGTTCTTGCTTAATATTCAAAATGATATTACCAAGTGGCTCAAAGCATGCAATAAAGATCCATCTTAGCTCTTGCTTCTTCGATTTGGGCATCATAATTTTGGAGGATTGGAGTTATTAACAAAGAAGAAAATGGTGAGAGGTCTGTCATGCATCAATCAACCAGATCAGATATGTGAAGGTTGGTTACTTGGGAAGCAATTCAGAAAGAGCTTTCCAAAGGAGTTAAATTTTAGAGCACAAATTCATTTGAACTCATACATACAAATGTATGAGTTTTAATCAAGCCATGCTCTCTCAGTAAGAGTAATTATTTCCTTCTCTTCATAAATGGGTTTTCAAGGAAAGTTTGGATAAACTTTTTGAAGCAAAAATTAGAGTTTTTTAGGGTATTCAAGAAATTCAAAGCTTTGGTGGAGAAATAAAGCGATCTCAAGGTCAAAGCCATGTAATTCGATCAAGGAGGCAAATTCACTTGAAAAGAATTTTAAAACTTTTTTGTGGAGCCAACATATAAACCAACCATTTATTGTATCAAGATCTCCTTAATAATATGGTGTAGCAAAAAGAAAGAATCAAACTATCTTTAATAGCTCAAAGTATGTGTAAGAGTAAGAGGTTGCCAAAGGAGTTTTGGGCTGAAGTTGTTGCATGCGCGGTCTACTTGTCAAATTGATCTCCAACTAAAAGTGCGTGGGGATTAACGAAGCAAGAAGCATGGGGTGGAAGGAAGCTCAAAATCTACCATCTAAGTGTGTTCGGAAGCAAGGCCTGTGTGCATGTACCTAGTTAGCAACAAATCAAACTGTACGATAAAAGTGAGAAGTACATTCTCATCATTTATGACTCCAACTAAAAATACTACAAGTTATACAATTTAAATACTATGAAGACAATCATCAATTGTGATGTTGTGTTCGATGAGGATGGAGAATGAGTTTATGACCTACATAATGAACACTACAACTTCTTTGAGGGTAAAGAAATGGAGCATTTAAGAATGGAGCAAGAAAGAGATGAGTTTACAACACCACCAACTACACAAATTGCATGTACTCAAGAAGAACCATCATCTTCAAGTAAAGGCTCAAGAAAAAAAGTACCACAATTTAAAATTTTAGAGGAAATTTATGAATTAACCAAGAATCAAGACAATCTTACTTTCTCTTTTCTTTTTGCAAATTGTGAGCCCGTGAATTTATAAGAAGCTATGAAACTAAGTAATGGATGGATGTCATGGATGAAGAAATTAAAGTAAAAAAGAATGTCAAAGAAGAAATCGAGAAGTATAAAACAACATTGCTAACAAAATGCTACAACAAAAAAGCTAGCATTGATCATGATCGAAATAAACATATCGACACATGTTATCACTTCATTAGATATTGCATCACAAGAAAGAATGTGCAAATTGAGTATGTGAAAACTCATGATCAACTATCTGATATATTCACCAAGCCGCTCAAGTAAGAAGATTTTATAGGATAAAAAGATTGTTCGGGATGAGCAATCAAGTTTAATATGGAGTGTTGAAAATTAAAGTTGATTTAAATTGGGCTTTTAATTGAGCCCATAATCTTGAATAGTCTTTAAGAAATTCTAGAGGCTCATATTTATGAAGAAAGTTTTAGAGAATTCTAAAGATATATTTTAAAATATTGCTTTAGAGAATTCTAGAATATGTAATTAATGAATTTTAAAACTAAAAATAGAAGAATACTCTAGAGAGTCAATAATAGCCACATGATTGAAATATGTTGGCAGAATCCTATTAGGAATGTGGTGTGTTTGAGTTTTGTATCAAGTAGAATGAAGAGGTAGAATAGTGAAATAAAAGTGAGTTTTGCAAGTCCTCTTCTCTTTTTCGCATTCCTCCTCTTATAATGCCTTTTATTTTCCTACACTCTCCTCTCAAAATCAATTCATTCAATTTGCTTTTTCACATGCAACTTCTTCTACATTTTTTAGACTTTTTGTGACTTTTCAATCTCCAATTAGGAGTATATTATACCATGATTGGTGTTCTCTAATTTTATAAATATTATGACAGGCCAATATTGAACAGTGTTAGCTCACCTTATAACTTAATCAAATTGTGATCTAGTCATTGATGCCAACATGGGTGCTCCTTTTGGTGCAATTTGCTCAATTCATGAATGTCATTGTCATGGAGGCATCTCTCAATGTTCCTTTTATTATTTTCTTTTTGAAAGCCCGACATTTTTATTAGGTTTGGCCAGTTGCATGACACCTTTGTCTGGTTTATTTTCATACGATTTACAGACTATATTATCATCTATTCACCAATATAAAACCATTCAATCTTAATGAATTATTTTCATGATTGTTAGATCCTCTAAATTTATTTTTTATCAAAAAGTGCACAACCCATAGATCTTTCTTTTATGCATATCAATTCTTTAAATTTATTTTGTATCATTATTAAATCCTAAGCATATCCTTTTTAAACTTGTTAGGTTGAAGAACATACTATATTTATGAAAAAAACTTATGTTGGTCAAATGTTCTATTATGTGCTTTCAAAACGGCATTTTAATTTTATTTCAAATGAAATCATTATTTTTCTGTAAATTACAATTTTATATTTAAAAGTTCAATTGTTCGACAATAACATCCTATTACTATTGTTTTCCATATTAGGCAACCCCTTATAGAAGAATTTGTTTTCTCGGTTCTTTTTAGAGTACTCAGAACCGCCAGCTTGTCCATTTATATGTCACCATGTAATTCACTCATTCAAATAAATCTCTCTTCTGAATCATGTCATTGAATCGAAGAGGACAAGAATTGAAAAGAAGAATATACAACAACAAATAGGCAAAAAAATAAAAAGAAATAAGCGAAAGACTTATATATGGGTAATCTTCATGTGATGGGCCGAGTGAATACATCCGAACATGATTGAATCAAAGTACCTTGAAACATAACATCTACGAAAAGAATCCCTACATAAACCACCCGTAACCAGAGAATCAAAAAAAAATATTTTTTTGTGGGGTTAAGAGTCTCCTTGAGGAACGTATCCATCTGATTAATTACATCTTAGGGGATACCAAAGAATACTCTTGGTAAAATCAGTTTTGCTTATGTTATCATGAATATAGTGAATATGTCATCAAAGGATGATTATTTTGTATGAGAATGCCAATAAGCCACAAGGTAGAGAGTGAATATTTTAATCTTAAAATTTTGGTTTTCTTTAATATTTATTAGGATTTTGTAGCAAATTTAGAATTTTAAATCCTAAAGAGCTTATATTGTATTCGTGATTCTTAGACAAATCAGATGAAGAAACAACAAAATCCATTTCAAACATGCAAACATACAATAGAGAATAGAAAAATAAGCCAAATCAAAATAATAAGAAAAAATTGGTGTCGTTGAGTCGGCAACATATCCCAAAAAAGAACAAGGTGGTTAGACTCTGCATATACATGCTCGATTCTAAATCTATATATCAATGTAAAATATGAATGCAAGATAAGGGACATAAACATTTGT